TACTATAAACAATGTTGAATTAGATTATAATAAATTAAGATTATAATATTTATTTTGATTAGACATCAAAGAAAAAACAAGAACCATTCAAATTTGTAATCAAATTTTTGTAAAGAAAATTCTATGAACTTTCTAATTGCCAATCAAATAATTATTAACACTTATTTGGTTCAAAAAATTTAATGTATAATCTTGAGAAGTTTTTATAATTTTTGAAAAGTTTTTATTACGTTTACTATAAAACGCACCTGTGATGTTTTTGTATCTATAACATGTTTTGGCTTTTATAATTTTTTGTATAAAATTCTTAAATTTTTTCATATTAGTGTTCAGAATTAGACTTAAGGTTTGGAACATTTTTATTTAAAACATTACACACCAATTAATTAGCCAGTTTTTGAGATAATTGTACATAAGTGTAAAACACCAGAGGTGCGTTTTAGTAAAAAGGTTTATCAATGTTGTCCCTTTTTGTTTTCATCTGCTTCCGCACTCTTCAGAAATTCCTGAATAAAAGCTTCCTCTTCTGCAGAAGAAGCATTGATCGGTGGAGAATCAGTAAGGGGATTAGGTCTTTTCGATTGGACTCTTTTAACAGCAGCGTAGGCACCGAGACCGATAGTTGACAATGTTGCGAGCGCAAGCTATCAATACATTCGAATATTAAGTAGTACGCATAAAGTAATTGAGTTTGGTCACGAATATTTTAAGAAAATAAGAAGCAGAAGGTTAGATAATTCACTAATAAAAATATGGACTAATTAAAATAATTCTATTCCAATAATATCTATGTCTTACGTATTCAGACCCGATTTTGCGACCAGCAATCATGTAAACTGCTCCTCCTCCCATTGCTAACGCAAGAAATGTGTGGAATGAAAGTTTAACTTATTATTTAAAAAAAAAAAGTCCATTTATTCGTATGTCGTTGAAAATATAACTCAAAAGTGTATAAAATTTTTTAGCGTACATATTAAGATTTAAGCGTTTCAGGATTGTGCTTACGACCGGTAGAGTTATGAAATAATCCTTAATCCCTTATTTTTTTTTAGGCTGCTCGACATTTTCTGATTATCTTCCACGTGAAGTTTCCGGTTCCCGGTTCCCCTGTGACGTTTTACCGATACATGTATGTACGAATGTGGGTGTAGTAAAAACCTCAATGGAAGGACGTCCTGTTGAATTAAGTGTTGAGGAAAAGCTTAAAATTGCTACCAGCTTCTTGCTTAATAGCCCTCCCGGAGAAATCACTGAGGTCTATAATGGTAAGTTTCGAATTTTATGTGCACATATTTTTATGCTTAAAATTTTAGCCAAAACAGCAGCTAAGAATAAACTGCCACCTGCTAACTTCGTTGATGTTTAATAGATGTTAAAGTCTTAATGAATAATAATGTGATGTTTCAAGAAGGTCTCTTGGACGCATTACAGCAATACAATACTGAACAATATACAACGGTAACTTTTCCGGGACAGGAAGCTCAGGTGATCAAAATTTGTCCTATACCTCTCTTTTCTTAAGAAAAAAAATAATAACCGTTTAAATAAAACCAGGTCATATTATCAAAATATGGACAACTCGAAAACGATCGGTTTCTCGATCCAAAATCACATCAAACATTTAAAGTCGATCATATGCGTCTAGTAAGATTGTTTAAAATACTATATGTTGAACTATACAGGATGTTCGACAAGCTTAAACTAGATTTTAATATTAGACTGTAGCCGAAGTCGAAAGTCAAACTCCAGATGAAACAACAGAGCCATTAAGGTATGATTTAATCTTGTAATTGTCTAATTGCAAATTCATTTTTCATAAAGTAATCGAAGTATTGTTTCGTAGATCTGCAGTTGAAACAGCAATTTCAGAATATGTGACGGATCATTATCCCAAGGGCGCTTCGGCAACTTACTCTACAGGAGAAACGCTAACGATTGCAATTGTGGATAACAAATATAGTCCATCAAATCTTTGGTGAATAATTTTTTTTATCAGCATAAAACAATTTTTTTTTTGTTTTAATACGGACAAATCTTTTATTACAGGAATGGTAGATGGCGGTCGACTTGGGTTATATCACCTGAATCTGGAGAAATAAAAGGAACAATCAAAGTCAATGTCCACTATTACGAAGATGGGAACGTACAATTGAATTCTACAAAGGATATTGAAATCACCTCTTCTCCAGTGAATTCAGAAGTATATTTCAAATATGAAAAAATTATTCGAATTTAGTAAGTTTAAGATAATTATATAAATCAATTATAATATTTTAAAGGACCTTTCCGAATCAGCTGCCGCCTATGCCAGATCAATCTGCAAAGCTGAGAACGAATTTCAAAATGCATTGAATGAATCTTATGTTGAATTATCAGAACATACATTTAAGGGATTGAGGCGTGCTCTCCCATTGACACGTCAAAAGATCGACTGGGATAAGGTTTGAAATAATTTCTTGTACTTAAAATTTCCATTAATTTATGTGATTTAACTTTATCTTTGTGTTTAAAGATCTCCAATTACAAGATTGGTCAAGAACTTGCGCACAAATCATAATTGATTTAGTCAGGATCATTAGAATAGTCTACTTGAATGCATATATAAAACTATTAAATGTGCTTTGTTATAGTATT